CAGCAATCCCAAAATGGAGTCTGAAAAGCGAAACAGTAAGGTCCGACGGTCAAAAAGCGAATTCCTGTTCGGTTCGATTTGGTAGTTCGCGAAGTTTGGTTCCATGGTACTGAACGCACTAATGTAGAAATACGCCCTAACCCATGACCACAGAAATTATAAATGCAAAATTACCGAGGTGCGGCATTCCTTCCACTTCAGCGCTAACAAACAGAAATCTTGGCGCACCCTGTCGAGTGAAGCCCAAGGCACGTCGTCACATCAGATTTGCAACATGTCAGTCGTCTGATCACGCGAGATCCTATAACTATAGTAAAGTATAAGGCTGAGCTGGACTTATACCCTTATGTGAAAAAAGTACAAATATTTAGGACCCTTATACTACAAAGTAGCTTAAAAATATACCCTTACAGAAAAAGTGGCAGCAAGCGAGTACCCTTACGAGAAAGAGTACTTCTAATCCTATCAAGAGGCCTGGGGGGGACCCTGAGCTATCAGGGTGCCTCTAAACGAATTTGAGGCCCTGGCCCTTAGCCACAGCAATGTGCTTAAGGTACTACCTACCGGCACCGTGCAAGATGGTTGCTTGCTAGAGCCTACACAGCAGAAAAATAGTGTGGATTGCCCAACAACTCGTCGATTCTTAACCTTGTATGCATTGCATTCCTTTGTAGTACCTACCTACTGCCCCCGTGAGTGGAACGACACGCTGCGTGTTACGCTAGCTGACCTGCAATTCTTTCCGTCCTCTACTGACCCGTCGCTCTTCGTTCGTGCTGGCCAGACCCCGTTCTACATCCTTGTCTACGTAGACGACCTGGTCTTCGCTACTACAGACAGAGACGCACGGGCCTCTGTAAAGGCCGAGCTGCTGAAGAGACACACCTGCACTGATCTAGGAGAGCTGCGCCGCTGCCTTGGCCTACAGATCTCCAGGGACAGAGCAACGCGCACCATCACTCTCATACAGTCACACTTGGTGCGTCAGGTCCTTCAGAGGTTCGGTCTTCAGTTCTCCTCCGCACAGCCCACACATCTGCCAGTAGATCACAGGCTCTCTGCTCCAGTTCCTGAGGAATCAGTAGAGCCCAGTTGTCCTTACGCAGAGCTGGTGGGTTGCCTTATGCACCTGATAACTTGCACTCGTCCATATCTCGCATACCCTCTCAACATCCTAGCTCGCTTTGTGGTCACAGGCAGACACCGACCACAGCACTGGTCGGCCGCTAAGAGGGTTTTGCGTTATCTAGCAAGTACATCGGGCATGGGGTTAGTGCTGGGAGGACGCAAGCCAATGGTCCTTATTGGGCAGACGACGCTGAGACCCTGAGGTCCTTCCAGGGCTACTGCTTTAGCCTTTGTTCAGGGGCCATCTCGTGGAGGTCCACGCGCTCCTCGTCTATTGCCCAGTCTAGCTGTGAGGCTGAGATATACGCCGGTGCCATGGCGGCACAGGAGCTCCGCTGGCTGACCTTCTTGCTCGCCGACTTAGGTGAGCGGCCTAGCTCTGCCCCGGTTCTGTACGCTGACAACAGGGCCATGATCCTCCTGTGTCAGGAGCCTCGACTTGAGGGCAGAGCGAAGCACATCCAGCTGCGGTACTTCCTCCTGCGCGAGCTACAATAGCGTCGACAGGCCCGCGTAGTCCACTTGGCCTCCAGTGCCAACACAGCTGATATCTTTACTATGGCGCTTGCGCGTAAAGATCATCAGCGGCGCTGTTTGCAGCTTGGTCCAGTTCGTGTAAACTCTCACTTGCTAGGACCTTGATTGTGAACTCCTGTATATTTATACCTTCATGGCCTTGTTGCTTCTCTTCCAGTGGCCGGACTAGTAGTGCCGCCCTGGTTCGCTCGTCTTGTCGGTACTCTTGCTGACTGGTCTTCGGACCCCTGCCTCAGTGGTTGGACTAGTAGTGCCACCCTGAACTGCATGTTTCTTGCTCAGCACTACCACTTATCTAGCCTAGGGGATGTCAACTTATACATATGTTAATATGTATAAGTTATAGACTATATAGGTGTATGTTCTTAGAGAGTACAACTCCAACCCTATATTTCCTTTGTTCACCCTTGTTCCTAATCATTCTAGTATTCTAACACCTACAATGTTGCCTGCCTTGGTAGCCCGGTGGAGCGTCTCTTCCTAGTCATACAAGTCCACATCATCCTCTGCATCGTCATCCTCATCATAGTAATCCTTGTCCTCTGACATGTCATCTGAGTCTCTCGCACTCTCCTCATCATAATCCCGATGTCTGCCTCTCCCACTGCCCACCTTCCGTGAATGCGCCTCTGTGGAATCCCCCTCGCCTCGTTTGAACGTGCTGCTTCGGAACTTGCCATGCTCGGGCCCTCTTGAGCCCCCCCTGGACGATTCCAGAGTGTCCACTCTGCCCAGCAGCCGCCCCTTGGCCCAATCCGCATCCCTCACACTGCTATCAGTTCGGCTCCACGTCTTGCCCCTGCCCCCGTCCCCTTCACCCTCCGCGTACTGGAACGTGCGCGTGCGGCTGAAGTCCCGCTGCTCCCCATCGCCGCCCTGCGCCATGGTGTTCGTGCGTTTGAACGCCTGCAGGTCCGCCCCCAGCGCCTGCTCAATGCGCGTCAGCGTGCGGCTCAGCTGCGCATTCGACACCGCGGTGCCTGCGCTGCTGTCAGCCATGGTGTTGGTCCGTGTGAACGCGGGCCCACCATCGCCCATGGTGAGCGTGCGCTTGAACGTCGGCACGGAGAGCAGCTGTGCCCCCACCGGCTGATCCGCAATCACGAATGTCTCCTGGCGCGCGAGGTTGATCTCCGTCTTCTTGCCCTTGCCGCCCTCCTCGTCGTCGTCAGGGCGCGCCCCGCAGTAGGCGAAGCAGGCGACGAGCAGCAGCATGAAGACGGCCGCAAACACCCCCAGCGACACAAACGCCTCCATGCGCAGATTGTCGCGCAGCACCGTGAGCAGCCCGCCCTGGCAGTACGGGCATCCGAAGCACAGCTCGCTTGGCTCTGCACTGAAGCCGCTGCAGTTGCTGCTGTGCTGCACGCTGGGCGTGGCGCCGGCAGCGGGGAGGGAGACTTTGGGCATGGTGGGGAGGTCGAAGGCGAAGGAGTAGTAGACGGGCGCCGACATGTTGAGCCCGCCCAGCACACAGCCCTGCGGCGGCAGGCAGCACCCCGCCTGTCATGGCACGGGCGCATGAGGAAGGGGAAATGGCCATGGCGGCGGGAGAGTAAGGCAAGGGAAGGGACGAGGCAAGAGGAGAAATGATGAGCCAAGGTAGAGGAGAGCGGAAAGGCGGCTCTGAAAGATCTGATACTCGATCGCCCCGGCAGTTGGCACCACACCCATCATGCTGCTCTCACCCCTCTGCACCCCTCCACCCTCCCCTCATTCCCCACAAGCCCGCATTCCCATTCCATCCTCCCTCCTCCCTGCTCCTCTTGGCCCCTCCCCGCCCCAATCCCCCCACCTCGAGCGGCGAGAGCTGCTGCTTCTTGAGGTTGCGCCCGAGGTAGCTGCGCACGTCCCCGCACGTGCGCGCGCCGTACAGGCACGACGCGAGCGGCGCCCAGGAGCTGTTGCTGGCCACCTGCTGCTGCATCCACGCGCTGAACTGCGCCGGCTCGAACACCGTGAACCCGCGGCTCTTCTCCAGCGAGCTCCCGCCCGGCCCCGTCACCACCAGCGCGAATACTGCGCGGAGGGGAGGGGCGCGCGGAAGGGAGGGGGGAGGGGAGGATGCGGGCAAGATTAGGTGGCGGCACCGCGGATGTGCTGCACGAAAATGCGCGGAGAAAGGCGAGCGCTGGCGAGTATAAGCGCGCATAGCGGAACTCGGACGGGAGAAGGGCTCGCGGGCCGAGATAAGGGGGAACGAGGGGCCATGGGGGGAAGGAGAAGGGTAAGCGGCGGGGGGGAGGGCGCGTACTGGCGAAGGCGAGGAGCGCCCACATGCCGGCGAAGGAGACGGTGAGCTGTATGCACACGAGGCACCCGTTCTCGCACACCAGCGCCAGCAGCCCCACAAGCGCGCCGATGAACAGCACCGCGCCGATGCCCATCAGCGGCGTCTGGTACATTATCAGGCACGCGCTGGGCGGCGAGCTCCACGTGGCGTACAGCGCGACGCCGATGAGCGCGAGCGCGAGGCAGAGGATGATGGTGTTGGCGATGGCCGTCAGCAGCCTCTCCGTCCTCATCGCGACTGGCTGCTCTTGCCGGATGCCTCTTGCCTCGTGCCTGCCTGCCTGCCTGCCTGCCTGCCTCTCTACTACGTGCACTATAGTAATCTTCTACCAGGAATGACACTTACACCGCTGTTTACCCAGCCTCGTAACGCCTTATCTACCCCTTCGCCGGCTGTTGTCGTTGGTGTTGCGCGTGTAGCGGCTTCGGGGATCAGCTCCGTTGCATCTGAACCGTCCGTTCACCATGGCCATTCAACCGCTCGACGAGAACAGCTGGAGCACGTGACTGTCATCCACCCGTCGCCGAAGCGACGCGGCTGTTCGGTGCTCGAAATAGGCACACTCCGTGATCGAGCGCCTATAGGAACTAGCGTGCAGCTTGCCTTCACCCGTGGAAGGCGGTGCGGCGAAGCAACGGCGCATGCGAGCGATGGGCGCAAATGGAATGGACTGAACTGAACGGAACGGAACGGCCTGACGACGAGCGCAACGCGATGGTTGCTCGCAGAGGAATGTGGCGTGCGTGAGGGAATGGCAGACCGACGATGTGAGAGGGGCGGAGAGCATTTTGAAGTGCACGGCAGCGAGCAGGTGAGCTGCACGCTTGGAGAAATGACCACTGCGGCGGAGTGGTCAGTGCTGGCCGAATCCCAAAAATGCTGGTCGTCACGCGCTCGCTGCTCACATCACATGCCATTGCCATGGCAGCCATGGCACCACCACCCCCTGCCAGCTCAGTCGCGCACCCAACAACCGTCGCTGCACCAACTCAATCGCAGCTCAGCGGATTCAGTCGCACGAGTAAATGCGGCGGCAGGTCGAATCGTACAGTGCTGTGCGCCTAAGGCACCTGGAGGGAGGCCAGGTGGGGCAGCTGGCGGCCTGAGGCGGAATGAGATTCTCGAGGAGCGAGTGCGAGGCGGGGAGGAAGGCAACAAGGGCACAAAAGCAAGGCGACAGGCACGCCAGGCTGGATCTCACTCGCGCTGGTCAACGCGCTAAAGAGAAACTCGGCATGTGCCCACCTTGCCTCAACTTTTGACAGTCGGTATATTTCCCAAATGACAAAACCGATATGCACTATGTACACCCTCCTTTAGTGGGTTGGGTACCAAAGCATCACCTACCGCATTCGCCCAAGCAATTGGCCCACATGGAACAACATTGAAGTGCACATTCGCAGCAGTCCCCGCATGAACCATTGCCGCTGCACAGGCTTCCACAGGAATAGTCATCCTCATCCCTCATCTCCTCTATCGCCTTGGCTCTCCTCTCTCCCCTCAACACAACATGGGCATAACCGCCTACACACAGCAGCAAGAGCAGCACGCACGCAGCAGCCACGCACACGCAGCCCGCCAGCCAGAGGTCGTCCCTCACCACCTTGAGCAGCGCTGCCTTGCACGCCTCACAGCTGAAGCACCCTCCACCTGAGCCTGGATCAGCGGCACTGCAGTTAAGGAGGGCTGTCGCATTGGTTTGAGCAGCAGCATTAAGGAGTGCTAGCCTAGAATGGTTGCCAGCCTGCACCGACTCAGGCATGGACGGTGCAGGTGCGGGTCCTGGTGAGAGGGCGAGTGATGGGGCAGGTGGCAGGGCAGGTGGTGAGGTAAGGGCGGTGATGTCGCTGCACGGGGTGGGTGGGAAGCAGCAGCCACTCTGAATCACTGATGGCCTTTGGTCGCCAGAGCCACCTGACGCAGCTGCAACACTGCTGCTGCTGCTGCCACTGCTGCTGCTATGGCTTATCCCTGCCATCTCGTCCCCAGCACCACCCCAAGGCCGTGGCAGTGCAGGGCAGGAGTTGTTGGCGACCAGGCAGGCCCACATCTTCACCCATGCATCGGGCTGCGCCACTAGCCCCTGCAGCCAGGGGGAGAAGTCCGTCACCGTGTACACCGGCTGGCCTGCTGGGCCCGTTGAAGTGCTGGGACTGGGGGTACTCACTGCCAGGGCGAAGGCTGCAGGGTTGGAAAGGGGAGGGAAAAGGCGAGGGCAGGTGGGAGAAGGGCAGCATGGAATGAGTTCTAGGGCTTGACAGGGAGACAAGGCACAAATGAGCGGGCGTGAGACGAGGTACGTGTGGGGTTGGAATGGGCGAAATGGTTAAGGGGGGCTATTGAATCAACAGCAACACTGCCGCCCACCTGCGTACGCCAGCAGCGCCAGCGTGAGGGCGGTGGAGCAGCAGAGGAACAGCCACTCGAGGCACCCCTCGTCTGCAAGCGCGCCGATGAGCCCCAGCACGCCCGCGCCGAACAGCACCGCGCCCAGCACGTTCCCCGGCACGTCCAACCGCTGCGCGCACGCGCTGCCGCTGCCGCTGCCGTTGACGGGGGACACGCAGAAGTGGGGTGGGGGGAGGGTGCGCGGGGAGACGGGGAGACGGGGAGACGGGTCGGGAGGTGAGGAGCCGTGGGGAATGGAAGGCAGCGTGAAGCGGACACAGACAGGCGCTCGCGGAGGAGGGCGCAGGCGAGCGATGGCGGACGCGCGGATGGGCACGAAGCAGCAGGAGGGGTGAGCGCGCGGGTACCTGAGTGCGAGGTAGATGGCGAGCGCCATGAGGCCCACTGACACCGCCACGGCTACGCCCGCCGACGCCACCATGAGGGCCTTCGCCGCCTTCATCGCTGCGCGCAGATTTGCGCTGCGCTGATGCCCCGCGACCGACTCCCGCTCAGCTGATTGGCGCGCTGATGAATCGAGCGACTAGAGGACACTCGCGACGATGAGCCCGTGTGTGCGACGCACTTAACAGTGCCGGCGCCACGCAGAGGAGGCAAGCAGAGGCGAGGCGACGGGGAAGAGAGAAGGCGAGAGACGCCAAAGATGGGTGGGCGGGTGGGTAGCTAAGGTTGAGCACGAAAGGGGTCGCGGTCTCGCTGGATAGATTGCCAGTCCGACGACTTCGCAGCGTGCAAGGCGGAGAGCCGTATATACTGAAGCGCTTTGAACTTGCCATCTTCATGTGTGGAGAATGGCAAAAAGTGGAACGAATGGCGGCGGTTGAATGAGAGGCAGACGGAGGGGCTTGGCGGAAAAGGCGGAATGGACGTTGTCAGGAAAGCAGGAAGTGGCTTCTGAGGAGCAGGGCTGAGGGGAAAGGCGGGAAGGGAAGGGATGGCGGAGAGCGCGGGAAATGAACAGTGGCTGCTCTGCGGCATCCTCGAGGCTTCCTACAAAACTTGTTTGGTGAACTACACTGGTGCGGTGCAGCTTGATACACGGCACCAAGCAACCAGCTTTCAATATTGATGGAAAACCCATGCACAAAATATGCTCACACAAATGAGCCATGACCCATGAGCTACTCAACCCTTCGTCAAGGAAAAAAAGGGATCAGCTCGTCTGACTACAACAGATTGTGGTTGGTCTGGTCACCTATGCAAGCACCAACCTGTGGTGTTTTTCAGATCATGCGGAAGGATCTACAGACTTCCTCGCAGCAATGAGTGTTGGGCTGAGAAAAGCCCTTAGGATCTTTGTTCTAGTGCTAGCTGATAAAATCCCTCTACGGGATCATGGCCCTGTTATCAGCGTACAGGACTGGGGCAGAGCTAGGCCGCTCACCTAAGTTAGTGAGCAAGAAGGTCAGCCAGCAAAGCTTCTGTGCCGCCACGGCACCAGCATAGATCTCAGCCTCACAGCTGGACTGGGCAACAGACGAGGAACGGGTAGCTCTCCACGAGACAGCACCTGAACCAAGGCTAAAGCAGTAGCCCTGGGAAGACCTGAGAGTCTTGGCGTCGTCTGCCCAAGAAGCGTCTGTGTGTCCAGTAAGGACCACTGGCCTGTGTCCTCCTAGCACTAACCCCATGCCCGATGTACTTGCAAGATAACGCAAAACCCTCTTAGCGGCAGACCAGTGCTGCGGTCGTGTTAACGTGAGAAGGAATGATAACTAGAGATGGAAACCTAGACAAATACTAGTTGGTTGTACTCACTAGAAGCATACCTCAGTCTAGCCTATAACTTCTACATAGCTAATATGTATAAGTTGACACACCCCCTAGGCTAGACAACGGGTGAAACTAAACAAGAAGCAAACATCTCAGGGCAGCACTACTAGTCCAACCACTGAGGCAGGGGTCTGGAGACCAGTCAGCAAGAATACAACCAAAACTAAAGCAAACCAGGGTGGCACTACTAGTCTAGCCTCTGAAGGTAAGGCCACAAGGCCAGTCTGACAGGCATATATAATAGAGAGTACACAATCAGGATCCTAACAGGGGAGCAGCTACAGGAACAAGACCAAGCTGTACACAGTGCCGCTGATGATCTTTAGGCGCAAGCGCCTTAGTGAAGATATCAGCTGTGTTGGCACCAGAGGCCAAGTGAACTACGCGGGCCTGGCGGCGCTGCTGTAGCTCGCGCAGGAGGAAGTACCGCAGCTCGATATGCTTCGCTCTGCCCTCAAGCCGAGGCTCCTGACACAGGAGTATCATGGCCCTGTTGTCAGCGTACAGGACCGGGGCAGAGCTAGGCCGCTCACCTAAGTCTGTGAGCAAGAAGGTCAGCCAGCGGAGCTCCTGTGCCGCCATGGCACCAGCGTAGATCTCAGCCTCACAGCTAGACTGAGCCACAGACGACGAGCGAGTGGATCTCCAAGAGATAGCACCCGAACCAAGGCTGAAACAGTAGCCCTGCAACGACCAGAGCGTCTCAGCGTCGTCTGCCCAAGAAGCGTCTGTGTGCCCAGTAAGGACCACTGGCCCGCGTCCTCCTAGCACCAACCCCATGCCCGATGTACTAGCAAGATAACGCAAAACCCTCTTAGCGGCAGACCAGTGCTGAGGTCGGTGTCTGCCTGTGGCCACAAAGCGAGCCAGGATGCTGAGAGGGTATGCGAGATCTGGGCGAGTGCAAGTCATCAGGTACATGAGGCAACCCACCAGCTCTGCGTAGGGGCCACTGGGCTCTACTGGCTCCTCAGGAACGGGAGCAGAGAGCCCATGGTCTACGGGTAGAGGTGTGGGCTGTGCGGAGGAGAACTGAAGACCGAACCTCTGAAGGACCTGACGCACCAAGTGTGACTGGGTCAGAGTGATGGTGCGTGCTGCTCTGTCCCTAGAGATCTGCAGGCCAAGATAGCGACGCAGCTCTCCAAGGTCAGTGCAGGTGTGTCTCTTCAGCAGCTCAGCCTTCACATAGGCCAGTGCGTCCCTGTCAGGAGTAGCGAAGACCAGGTCGTCTACGTAGACAAGGATGTAGAACGGAGTCTGGCCGGAACGCACAAACAGTGAAGGGTCAGTAGAGGACGGAAAGAACTGCAGGTCTGCTAACGTGGCACGTAGCGTGTCGTGCCACTCGCGGGGAGCCTGACGCAGGCCGTAGACCGGGCGCCTGAGAAGGCACTGGGTCCCAGGAGGGAAGGTACCAGTGAAGCCCTGTGGTCGGCGCAGGTAGACCTGCTCGTGTAGGCTGTCACAGGATCGAATGTGTCGAGGAAAGGTTGCACTAACGATCAGTACAAGGTGCTTTTATACCGCCAAAGTACATCAGGTAACCATGTTTATCTTATCCTAAGGGAATAGACCCTTCTAGAAGATAGAAGCACCCTGCGTATAGCCACGCGAGGCTATTGGCTTGAAGGGATTACGGCAGGATTACGCCAGATAGCGCACCAGTACATCCCAAGCCTGGTCGGTGATATAAGTATAATAGCAGGATAACCCAAAGGTTAATGGAAAAGGAAGAATAGGTAACCAAATGAGATGGAATAAAAGAGAAATGAAAAAGGAAGGAAATAAGAAAAGGCCAAGTGGTGTAACGGGGTCGTACTCTCACACTTCCCCCCTTCAAAGCTGGGTGGTAGAAGTAACACCCTCCTTGACAAGGTAGTCATGCAGAGGACGACGGGCGTTACCCATGTCGGACTCAGGTACCCAGCTGTCCTCAGAAGGATGATAACCCTTCCAACGGATGAGAAGTTCCACGACGCCATTCCGACGTCGGCGGTGTGCAAGCACGGATTCGACCTCGTACTCGGGTTCATTCTGGACGAGGACGGGCGGCGGCGGCGGCGGTTGGCGTCCGACGAAGATCGTGTTCGGATCCCGATAGGGCTTCAGAAGCTCGACATGGAAGGCGTTGTGAATCTTCCAGGTAGCTGGCAGGCGTAAGCGGAAGGTAACAGGAGTGACCTGTGCTTCAACGAGAAAAGGCCCGCAGAAGCGAGGTCGAAGTTTAGATGGGAGGTGGCTGATGTCCAGGTTGCGGGTGTCAAGAAGCACCTGGTCTCCCACCGTGATGGTTTGGTCGTTGCGATGGCGATCGGCCTGGCGTTATTGTTGCTGCTGAATGTCGAGGAGGCGCTTGTGGGTCCGATCCCAAAGCTGATGCATGGTTGTGATGAAATCATGTGCAGGTTGTACCGTAGCGGATGTGGTCGGTTTTTGTGGTGTGAGTGGGTGACGTCCGTAGCAGAGGAAGAACGGCGTCTGTCCCATAGCGGCATGTGTAGCATTGTTGTAAGCAAACTCTAGTACGGGCAGGTGCAAGTCCCATTTGGAGATCTCGTCCTTGCAGGCTGCTCGGAGGAGTTGCTCAACAATTTGGTTGAGGCGCTCGGTCTGTCCGTCTGTCTGCGGATGGTAAGCGGATGACATGGCGAGTTTGGTCCCGAGAAGAGACATAAGTTCATTCCAGAACTTGCTGGTAAACTTGCCAGTATCCGGACCGCAGATCCAGTTTGGAAAATACCGTAGCTCCCCGAAGCTGGTCAAGTAGGTCATCGATTCGTGGTATCGGATATTTATTCTTGATGGTCTGCTTGTTAAGAGCTCGGTAGTCGATGCACATGCGCAGGCTTCCGTCCGGTTTCGGTGTGAAGAGTACTGGGGCACCGTACGGCGAAGTGGATGGTCGGATGAGTCCTTTGGCTAGGAGATACTCAATTTGTTTTTTCATGTCGGTCAGCTCTGTAGGGCTGAGCCGATATGGTGCTCGGAAGGTCGGCTTCGAACCCGGTTCCTCCACGATCTCGTGCTGATGCGTTCGGTATAGCGGTAGCTCGTTCTGAAGATCGTCAGGAAGAATGTCTTGGAACGCTTTCAATAATTCCTTGATGTTTCCTGGAGGTTCCGAGGCTTTCTCTCCGTCATTCTCCACCTCTGTTGCTATCGCCAGGAACCCGGTGTCGGTTCGCTTCACGTCCTTCTCGAATCGTGCGAGTGTCTCCACTGGGATATCTCCAGTATCGTCCCAGTTGGGTAGCTGTACTCTCCGTCCATTGTTGTCGATGCTTGCGGTGCGGTTCACCCAGTTGATCTCGGGGTTGAATCTTTTCAGGAAGTCTCGCCAGAAGATCAGGTCAAGCCCTTTGATGTTGGTGATGGGGAGTGCAGGTCTCCAGCGCAGTGGTCCGATTTGTAGGTGTAGCACTGCTTCGCCGTATACTGGTAACTTGCTGCCGTCCACCATCGTTGCAGAGAATCCTGAAGGCTTGTACCCTCCCCGAAGTTGGTCGATTACTGCCTTGTTGCAGACGGTGTGTGACGCTCCGCTGTCCACGAGTGCTTGGAGGCGTCGTCCTTTGCAGATGACCTCGAGCACGAGGGGTAGTCGTTGCTCGGAGTACCCAAAGATAGTTTCATTGATTGGGTCATAGGGTACATCCCAATACTCCGTACACACCTTTGTGTTGCTATCTACTCCTGAGCTGGCAGCTGGCCGAGGTTGCTTGGAGAACGGCTCTTCTCCAGGGCCCGGAGTTTCCTTGACGACTGTGCGCGTCACTGATGCCGAAGAACTGGATGCATCCGTAGGAGAAGGAATTCGGGGTTTGTGCAGCTTCTTGTAGACCCCCAGCTTCCTCTGGAGCTGCTTCAGCTCCACCGACGTCTTCCCTGGGGAACGGGTGGTCGTTGTGGGCTGGTGTCGGGAGAGGACGTTGACTCCGTGGAAAGGTCGGCTTCTTTCCACACTCCTTAATTTGGTCCCCAAGTTGTCTGGTACCGGTATAATCTCCACAGTTGTCTGCTTCTTTTGGAGTCCCTCCCGAAATTTCTCCAAGGCTCTAGCCCCTCGAAATTCATAA